TTGTCTCCTTGAGTTCATCAAAAAATTTTGTAAAATCTTCATCGTTGGAAAACTTTAAGGCATATATTCCGCCGGATTTTTTTATTCCCACTTTTGTGGCGATTACGATTACCTTAAAGTTCTTGTTTCGTTGCATCTTTGCAATTTTTGAACGGTCGATCTCTTCTGCATGATGTTTGAATTTTATCACTGTCGGTTCAATCTTCACCACCTCTTCAACAGGCTTAGCCTTGGCTGCCTTTTGCAGTTCCTTGGTCATTTGGGCATCCATTTTGGTCTCCTTCTTGTACTTACCGACACGGAGATGAGTTAGGGTGTACTCCGTCATGATTACGAGTTACTGACAATGGCACAAGTGAACAAAGTGTTGCTATCACACTATCTTATACCTCTGTGAGCAATCGAAATGCACCAAATTGTGGTTGTGCGCGCAGTGTCGTGGATGCCAGCCTCGCTTGCATGTGAGCGGGTGGGCGTTACCGTCACAGCTAACCCGTGAATAAGCGCGAGCTCTCAACGCTTCAATGATGGTGACAGACTGGCTGTGCAAAACCAATTTCTTCTCTCTTTGTCGTCCTAGTAACATGAGATGACTTACAGTTCAATGCACGTAGGCTTCGAACCTAATGAGGTACTTATTTAGATTAAAATATTCTGTTAATGAAAGGTCGGAAATAGGCTGCTGTCCGGTCCTTTTTTGAAACATCAATGTGTGGAATTACCACCCACGTAGAAATCAAGCACGGCACAATTGACTACGATCGACCACAAGAACAGGTGGAATAAGACAGCAGCATCGTGAAAATCCCTCCATCAATTGATCGGCTTTCGGTCCGCGATCATTCTTCACCTTACCTCAACTAATATCTTTGTGATTGTGCTCGACTCGGTCCAATTTTTCACATACCTTTTGCTTACAGTGATTAACAATGACTCTGTAAAATGTGCTTTGATTGTAGCAACTTCCGTTAGAAATAAAGAGGGATTCACTGACTGAGCTTCGGTGTGGTGGTGATAAAGTAGGAAAGCAGTCTGCATATCCAATGGTTTGCCTAGTTGCCCAACGATTTTTGGTGCAGACTGTCTGCTGCTGCGTCTTTAAATACTTTCTAAGTGACTATACGCAACTCCCTATGGACTCATTCTGATGCAACTGGACCGAGTTATAAATCGCATTGTCATATACAAAGTCTTAGGGTTGAAACACTACCAACTGTAATCTCATGCTTGTCTTGATGCCATAGTCAAACAGGCGATGGCAAAGCACTCCAGATAATATCAGATTTTGTGGATCGCATCGGCCTTTTGCGTCTCGAGTTTTGGCACGAAAACGAGGCTATTCTCTACACACTCGAGTTGTACCGGAATGACAGTTTAAATTAGACAGCAGTGATGAAAGGTTTTATTGAATTCTCATTGCGTAAAGCCGATTTCCAAAGGAATTGCGTTTGTCCTGAAACTCGCCGCACAAATTGCCTTGCAATGTTTGTCTAGGCGAACCAATTCACATTGAAGTTTTAAATCAAATGAAGTACTTTTTGTAGGGATGGCGTGTTAAAACGCAACCAAGTTAATTGCATTTGCATTTACTCATCACTAACAGAAAGGATTTGTGTGTGTATTTATTGTATGCGATCCAAAAAGCGCCGCTATCTCGCTACACCCTTCTCTTGACGCAGTCAAGTGTCGTTAATCACTTGAAAGTGCTGTAAGGCCATCAGTATTAGCTGGAAGATTTTGGTTCACAGCTAACCAACTTTTCTGGCTCGAAAATCTTCCCCCCCCCCCGTTTATGTTAATGGATACAATTTGACGTTTTGCTCAATGCACTACTTGCTATAATCGCCTCCTTAACGAGCTCTTTCTAACACTCTTGAAAGTCGCTTTTGCGGATCACATCTGTTGCAGAGATTATTTTGAAGGTGCACTTCTGCCACAGCTTGTCTGTCTGATCGCATCAAGGAATAAGCAGTGTCAACTGAGGTGTTACAGTTCAAACCAGCCATCACAGTCGGATGAGCAATTGCGCAAAAATGCAGAATTATGGTAACTCTAAAGAGTCTATCATCAAAAGCCTTGAGCATCTTTTATTCCGTAGAAGGAGAAGTTCCTCTACACAGAGCCATCTTATCGAATGCGCCTCAAAATAAGTCTTTCTCCCAGTTTTTTTAGCAGTCTGTCATAGTTGCGATTACAAAGTAGGACAAACGTTTGCGCATCGACGACGAATGCGTTTTCTGCATCTCATCCCACCTCAAATCCTCGCAGTGTTAATCCTTTGCTTCCTCGCCACCCAGGACAAATGACGTAGTGTGGAAGCATGTTCTTATCACCTTCGTCCGCCAAACTGTTGTGTGCTTCAACACACGCCACACCAATTGCCTAATTCTCATCGAAACTTCAGTTTAGGTTATTTTGATCGCTTTCGTTTCAGTCTTTAATGAGAAAATAGTGGTCTACGAGTTCAATCCAACAAAATATCACACTTTGAAAATCTAATTTTTAAGTCCTTACCGCAACCTACATGCTACTGAAGATAACAAGTTTGAGACGTGAAGATAAAATCAGCACTGCAAATGAAGCAGCAGGACGGAGGATGAGTGCGAGTGTGTGCGCTCCTCGGTGGCGTCGGTGAGGTGATCCATGACTGAGTGCGACTCATCAAGAGGTGGGAATAATTTTCTGTCAAGAGCGTCAGAATAATTAATTCGCCAGAGCATAAAAGTATTGTCACCACTTTCTCAGCACTTAAAGTACTCATACATTGGAACCACCCAATTCCTGCAATTTTCAGCCAAAGGCGTAAGTTCTAAAGGAGCCTGTTGGTCTATTTTCAATGAGCCACTAACTGCGGTTTCACTAATGATGCGCATAATTCAAATAAAAATTCAATGCGAAAGTGGCAAAATGCATTTTCACCATGTAATGGCGTATTTTAAACAAAAAAATTGCGTTATTTAGTCCACCTTCTCGCTTAAGTGTCATCTCGACGACCCTCTCGGTCAATTTTTCGCGCCTACCTTCACAACGGTGACGGCGTTGTAGGCAAACCAACATGCCAGTCATCAACGTTCTTTGTGTCTAAATAGATGTCTGGCTTGAAAAAATTGTCCGATTTTTTTCAGCAATTTCAGTGCACCTGATTTTTCGTCCTGTCTGGGACCTAGGACTGAGAATGAGGAATTTTGCTTGCTGAACCGCATGTCCGCTAGCAATGGTGAGAATACCGACCTGAAAGCATTCATTTAACAGTGAATGAAGTTTGAGACGTTTATTTGGCAATGAGGTCTCAGACCAACTCCACTGTTTCCATTACTGTCTAGTCCTCGATGTTGGAAATTTTTTTTTGAAGAAGAAGAAGACTTAAGGCGGTTCATTGCGTACACAAATTGGCGTGTGGACTTTCTCATTATGGTTCTCAACTGTCGTCACAGACCATTAGATGTCAAAAGCAACTGGTCAAATGCTTTTGTTAATAGCATTCACTGAGTTCCTCATCTTCCACGTGTGCACTTTACCGCCTACCAGTGGCAATCGGAGTGGATCTTGGCGGATTGGGTTCACCGTTCGCCTTTCTCAAGTGGTCCTAGCAAGCCTTTCCCAAAAGGGATTGAAGACAAAACGCTGGAAGAATTTGAGGACTCATCCACTCGACCAAGCGCTGATCAGACATCGAACGCTTCGCATATAGCTGATTCAGTTTACGCATAAGTAAATGTGAAAATGTACTTGGAATTTTAAATGATCCACGTGCTAAAAAAAACGACAAAAAAGGTTTAAATGCGCTAATTTGAGCAAACTTTTAGGTGGTTACGAATCTCCTCGAAATGGAGTGTCGAAGCATTTGGTGGGTACTTAATCAGTCTTATATAACAATGGCAAAACTAAATAAATAAGTAAATACAACCTCTTAACAAAAGAAGCCTCCTAATAAAAGAAAAGTAATGTGCGTAGGCAGCATAAACGGTAGCTCACGTTTCGAAGGCATGCAAAGGTGATCGTATTGAATAAAATGGATTGAACAAACCCACCAACCAGTGGAGAACCGACGCCATCCTCTCTGACCTCGACCATTTGCTTCATCAAATGTAATTTTTTTTTGTCTAGTTTGAGGTCTGTTATCATTGCTTTTAGTAACGGAAATCGCTGTTACTTAAAGGATCGAAATCACTTGATGTCTGCCTGGTTGCAGTGACATCCTTGCTGGAAGCCGCTTGTCCCCACAGATAACCATTTGCTAGTAACTGCTGGACCTAAATTTAAACCTTCATAAAAATTGGGCATCCTCCTATGAACAACAGCTACTTGGGGCTTTACTTAAAAAAGAGATGCATGACCTCTACGATAGCCTCTGTTCAAAAGTAGTGTCTTGTTCAAAAAACCTTTCAAAACTACGAAGCGCATTTCTGATTCCCTATAATCAAGACAGTTCGGAATTAGGTGCTTGTCAAATGGCAGCTTTGCTTGGCCACTCCAAATCCCTGGCAATGTCTCGGAATATTCGTCAATACGTGGCATCCGCAGGCCACCCGTCCCCCCAAACCATTTCTTTCGTGGCTGAAGAGGTTTTACTTTTAATATATAAATGACAATAAGATGGGTGTCAAAAGATACATAAAGTTTAAAAGGCATTAAATGCTTTTTTAAGGCTAAAATAGCAGTTATGCTGGTGCAGAGGCAAAACGGTTAGGAACAATGGGAAGGAATGAGTTTTGGACGGCTTGTGGATTAGGAGTCGTTAGTTTGTACAATCCCTGACCAAACAGCAAACTTGAAGGTAATGCTTATGCTGGTGTAGCTGTACTCTTAAATCGCGGAATAAACCCAGTCCACATTTACCAGACTGAGTCACACCTTTGCATCCAAATGGCAGCTTGATTGAACATAAGAGAAGGACGCATATGTAATCGTATTCCTCAATGGATACTTCCTAAATGAGGCATCTGAGCATCCACCGTCTCTCCAGCAAGACGCTCCATCTCGTGTGTACGTACCAACGTACCAACAGGAAGGCCACGATGTGACCTTCAGCTAAACCAATTGCTTTAGCGCATCACCTGCGATAGGTTCTTGTGTGATCCAACCTCATTCCACGTAGGCGCTGCACATTCACTTTGCTGCTTTGGCTTTTAAAATGCAATTCTTCGTCGTCTTAAATGATCTGATTGACTGCTTGTTAGTAGTTATGTGTTGATTCATACTGCGGTGCTGTGGATACAGGCGTGCAAGAAATGAGTGGGTGGGCCCAGCATCTGTTTACAAGCACATAGAAAACTATGCGGTCACTTTAGTTGGTTCCTCTATCAAAGTTGGGTAATAGAGGGTTTC